CAGGTGTGTTGTCCCTGTGTAACAGTAATTCACTGCTCAACTGCTGATGCTACAGGTTCTATCTGTGATGGTCAAGATGGGAGTGGATGTTGAATATTCTTGCCTCCTTGACTCTTTGGCAGCAAGTCACTTTGGTGGTATGAAGGCACAGTGGGGAAAAAAAGCCCAAACCAAGCAAACCCAGTAAGTTAGATTGGTGGAAGAAACAGTATGAATTACTAAAGTAAAATTAATGTATCCTATTAAATAATAAACATTTAAAAGAAGAAATTAAATATGATTGGTGAAAATGCAGAACAAATGTAATTTTTAAAATAATTCCAAATGTATTGTGGAGAAAGATGTTTCTACAAAATGAAGACAATGAAATTATTATCCAAAATAGCTTAGTCCCATCTCACAGGGACATAATGCCCCTGTGAGATGGGACTTGAAATTAATGTTAAAATCCTGTAATGAACTCACATCAAATTTAACATCTGTGCATTAACTAAGAACAATCACAGAAAGCATAGAACCATTTCGTTTTCCATCCCAGAGCTGCAGTTTAGATTTTACATTATTTGGAATAGTAGATCATATCCAAAGTAAACTTCAGCATCTCATTTTAAAAACTTGGGAAGTGAAGTAGCAACAGTAGACTGGGAGGAAGATTAACTAAGGTCCAATTCAGCAGCACAGATAAGCAACCTCTTCCACATTTCTTTCAAACCACATGCATTTCCTGTTTTTCTTATGTCTTGCAAAATAATGAACTAAATATTAAGATGAGAAACACTGACGTTTTGGATTGTAAGATTAAGAAAAGTGAAACTTCTTAGAGATAGAAATCATCAGTTAATCTAATAAATGCAGTAATACCTTTTTACTTTCAAATACCCCCCCTCAAGTATTGATTACTGCTCCTTTTTAGAGCTGCATATTTAAATTTGTATAAGCACAAAGGATTCAGATGTGATAAGGGATGATACCATGTCCAGGTTTTGCTTGAAGGTTTGGAGTGAGGTTCAGGTGCTTATTAGGGAGCACAAGGTGTTCTCTCTGACACTGTGCAGCCTGCAAGGAATCAGTTCTGTGACCAGCTGGATTTACACCATTCTGTCACCCTGTAACACAAAGTTCTTCAGAATTTCTTTCCCTCTGTCTTTGACTCAACTGGAATTTTAGTTTTAGTTATTATTGTCCAAAAGCTTGTAATTGAACCAGATGATTTTTTTTTTCATCAGCTAATCTGGAAATTAAATAATGGAGCAAATATAATTAAGAATGGGGTAACATTATGTTGAAATTTATGTTATGAAAGTACCCTTTCAAATGATCTGTGGAAAGCACATGTATTTTATCTGTTGGTGAAATAAAGTCTGTATGAGGGTAGAATGAATGTGAACTCTGAGATCACCAACAGAACAGAGCAGTTATTGAAGTAGCACCATAAGAGTCAGTAAAACAATTATTCTTAAGTATCAGTTCAGTATAAAGCATGGATGAGATTAACTCACAAATAAAACAAAATTATTCTGGACACAAAAAAGGCCATGAGAAGGTGAAGTATAAACTGCAAACTAATTCATATACCCTGTCAAACCACCCAGAGTTCTCTTAATAAAGCTCCACATGCTCAGTGCTCTGTGCTTATGCTGGGAGACCTAATAAATACACTAATTTGTCATATGGTGAGTGAAACAAATGAGTTATATTTTCTATTAGCATTTTGCTCTTGTAAATCTTGTAACCAGCTCACACTTCATGTACAATTTATGGCACAATTCATAAATTGCTCTGGAAACTCATAGAAACCTATATCTTCTCTGAAAAAGGCAGAATGTTTTGCATTTTTCAGAGGGATGTTTGAGATGACAAGATTTCTTTTCATCTTTCTATCACATTAAGCCACTGTTTCACCATTTTCATTTTATTACTGTCTAAATTTATGTTGACTTTGCTATTCAGATCCTTTCATGTTCTCTGCCTTCTCTCTGTGAGTTGTTTGGATAATGCATTGCTTTATAAAATTCTTTAAAGTAAATAATACTTATTAACACACTTGCTATGGTATTTGACAGATAGCACATGGCCTTATAGGCCTTATTCTAGCAATATTAGTTTTTGATAAAAGTTCTAAAATTGAAATCAGAGTAATTTGATATGTCAAGAGAACTTAAATTTCAGCTCCCTGATTCTTGCTGTAGTAGTTACCAGTTTAAGCTGAGCCTTTTCACTGTGCTAAGGTCTCTCATTTAAGTTGTGTTGCCTTTCCTATAGCAAAATGTTTACTAGAGTTCACAGAGCTCCTAATAAGGGTAGAATTGCATGGACTGTGATGCTACTGAACGAGGATTCACACAACCTTCAAGTTACTCCGTGGAAAGGAAAAGCCACCTCCCTGGCATTTGATTTTGTGTCTCAGCTCCAGAATCAGTTATAGTGAACCTCCAGCTATTCCCATAGAATATCTTTAGTTCCTAATTTTATCTCCTTCACCTCTTGCTCATATTTATTGAATTGCATTCTGGGCAATCAGTCTCTCTTCCAGCAGGAATCATGTCAGCTCTTTGTTCTTTTGGGATTATCGTGATATCATTTATCAGTGTTTCTCCAGGGCTTCCCAGGCACTTGCTGCAGTGTTATGTAAGCTTTTTAGATGAGCAAAATTGGCTGCTGATAACAGATTACCTTTCTGCCCTATGTTCTTTCCCCTCAGCTAAGAACAGATGCAAATCACAACTACTACCAGCTGAGTAACAGCACAAGTCAGTGCTTTGTCTCTGTGCAGACATCCCTGGCAACGTGCTAAAGGGTTTCACTGCAGAGGGAACCCAGAATTTTAACTCCCAAATTCCCTTCTTTCTACAAACACAAAGTCTTTTTTACTGACTTGGTTATACTTTCAAAGTAGTTTTGCAGCAGGGGTTTCTGCAATGCTGTTCTGGCGGCTGTCAATGCTTTCCAAGGTCTCTCACTGTCAGCTTCTTGATGTACCAGCAGAAGACTGCGTGGGTGGAGTATTTAATGATGTAATCTCATTAACACAGATATAGGGCTTACTTAGAACTGCCTAATGTTTGCACAAAGCCTGCCTTTCACCTTGAAATAGAGCTATAAAATTGAAGTTACTTTTCCGATTCATTACATTGTTAATATTGCTGAGAGGGTAAAGTAAGACATTAACATAATTGTTTAAAAGATTTTCTAAAACGGATTTGAAATCTTGTCCATGTCTTTACGTAGGTTTCCCCTCAAAAGATGTGATCTGTTGTTAAAATCAATCCAAAGTGTCCCTTCTACAGGAATTATGTCAATTATGCCGATGCTTTAATTAATTTTTCAGTATAAAGCAGTTTCACTGTGTCTTATTTATAGTGGAAAAGAAACTAATGGGATTTCAGTGACAGTGGCTTTCTGGTTCATGCAAGTTGGACAGTCTCGACAAGCTGTGCTGAGAGCGTGGGCTTGTTTGTTTACAGGTTGTCTGCTTTCCTGTCAATGCTCAGTGGTTTGCACTGCTCAGCCCACCAGAATTCTGTTATGTTTATTTATTTAAAAAAGGAAATAAACTTCCGAGGACTTGGTATATCCTTTCTGTAATAAAACACACTGAGCTGTGCTTCCTAGAATCTGTGATTATAGATTTGATTGGGTTGGGTGCCAGTTGAAGCTTTTGCTTCTCCCCTGTGTTAGCCTGAGCAGTTGCAATTGGTTTTGCACTTAAAAATTCCTTTCAACACTTCCTAAAAAAAACCCCAGAAAATCAAGGAGAAGGAAAGTTTCTGCGTTGTTACTGGCTGCAAAAAGGTAGAATAAATGGTTCCATTACCTTTGGAACTGCAGTCTGTACAGTGAATATTGTGTGGTCGGTAGAGAAAATCCAGAGTATCTTTACTGCCATAATTTCAGTGTTGATGCAATAATACTTGTGAATGCCCCCCTTCTGATTTCAGTGGTGTGATCTAAAATCCAGCTGCAGAGTTAAGTGCTGGTGTCCAGTTGAGCCCNTGAATAAAAGTCAGTGTTTAAGATTAGTCACCAGACTTGAGCGTGCAAAGCAAATACACTTGACCCTCTGGTGTAATGTCAGGGATTATTTCAGTAAGTCTAACTCACAAGGAGAAACCTGGAGATGCCTTTCTGGATCATCTGTTGTCATTTTTTTTACTTAGAATGAGCTCTACAAGCCCCATGATCTTTGTACTGTGTTTATGTTCTCAATAGTAAGGTCTATCTGAATGTACATTTATTATACATAACATGATCATTTTAGTAGTCTGCTATTTTTGATTTGTTTTTAAGTTTGTGCTTAAACTATACTTCATAGCTGAGAAAGAGTGAGGGATTTTTGAGATGTGATACACTGATTGTGATTTCAATAAAACAAAAGATAAGGAATGAAGATACAAATTCAAATGTCCATATTCCTCTCAGCTGTGACAGTCAAGAACCAGCTCATTCTTTTGTGTCAAATACATTTATTTCAAATGCATTATTCATTCCTTGTGGTGCTTATGTGGATTCCCAGTCTCGAAATACCTTTCCTGGGAACACTTACTGCCCATAAATTACCAAAGTCACACTAAGTATAATATTTATTAACTTATAGCTGTGTAAATTATATACAGGTACACTAGTCATTTGTATTTAAACAGAGAATTGATTCCTTTTGATACTGGAAAACATCCAGCCTGTATTATTAAGTTTTCTTTGAAAATGTTAATGTAACTAAGCTGCAGGAAAAGCTGTTTGAATGCTCCAGAAGCCACCAGTTATTTCAGAAGAATACAATTATTCCAATATTACACGGATTTAAAAAACAAAACCAACAAACATGTGGTGTGGTATTATTGACAAAACCAGTTGTTTTCACTTTAAAAACATGTAAATTTGAAGAGGCACTGACTAAAATACCTTTATCTCCAAAGCTCTTTGCTACATGCAAAGAACACCTCAGCAGTTTGAAGTTTGGCACATTCAAATCTAACCTTGAACTGTTGTATGTGTTGTTGCAGATCACCCGGGGTCAGGAGAACACCATCTCTTCTCTTCTCAGGATGCAGTAACACGGACCAGCTCATTGGCAGCATGAGAATCCATGACCCAGCAAAGACAGAGGTAGGTGTAAGGTCTTTTTTTCTGTTTTGTGTCCACCATCACCACACTCTCTGTAATTTGGGAAGATGTACTTAATTCCCTGTAGCTGCAGGTGTCTGATTGTTCTTATGCCTGTTCTGGCATATAACTGTTGCTGTTCTCATTTGCTGTCACAATGGTCTTATCAGTTCAACTTCTTAATGAAATTGAAATGGGTGTGACAAATTTATTCTGATTGATAGTGTTGCCCTTGATTATCAGGTTGTGAGCTGGGTGTTGTGTGCTCTGGGTGCTGGTCAGTATGACCAAGAGCATCAGTGAGAGTGGATTGCCACTGAACTTGAAGAATTTGCTTGCACTTTAATTTGCATGGGTTTCGTTTTCAAAATAGGATCTGAACTTTCAGTAGAAGTGTGTAGCCCAGAATATGCATTATGAAGAGTTACAAGTGTGAGTGTAAGGGCAAGCTTTGTTTTTGGATAAAACAAGAAATGCCTGATTAATCTGAACTGTAGAAACATGGTGGTATTGACTCTGCATAAAGGGTAGGAAGAGGTTTGGTCGTTACATCTGTCCCATACTCTGGTTCTGTGTGGCTCATTATGCTGTGAGATGAGCAATAACTCAGAAGTAGCTTTTTTAGGACTCTTGGATGGACCAACATTATTTTTAGTTGGAGTGGGTATTGTCTTTTGATATCCAACTTGCTTCCTGAAGACAGGGAGATTTTCTATATATCTTCATGCTATTCTTGCTTAAAATAACCAGCACAGACAAAACCTTTACCCATTTGCTCTCTCAAGTACACTTTACTTAAGACTAGGTGTTATGATTTAACTTTCTAAAAATCTGTTCATCACCATTGGTTTAATAGTAACTTCAGCTTCATATTTCTGTTTTATAACCTCAGATGCTTTACAACTTTAGTAAAGGCAGCAGTAACAGGAACAAACAGCCTGGACTGCAGACTTGCCAGTGAATCACACCCACTGAATTTGAGTTTCACTTCCCTCCTTTGCATGTATCCAGAGAACCTCAGTTAATGACAGATGGCAGCTATGACCCTCATGCAACTTTGTACCCTAAAGTATACAGAAACTTTCAGGGCTGTATGAGTATCTAATTATTTCTGTTTCACTCTTTAATAATGATAACTTGACATAAAATGTAAAAGGAGCATAAGTTCCTCCTTTCCTGGACAAGACATCCTGTGTGTATACTATGGAGTATAATACCTGAGGCATCGTGCCTTAGCTCACACCATCGAGTTAATCCTTGCTATTTGGAACTTTCCATATATCCACAGGACAACACATTTCCCTGCTGAATAATGATATGCTTCTTTGTAAACTATAGCCATAATATTTAGTGGATTATCAGGAAAGGTGTGAAATCCAAATACCAGATTTTTCGTGACTTATCTACTGGTTGGGGATCGTAGTTGGGGAGGGTTTGTCCAGCTTTCAGGAGAGTATTTGGAAGATTGTGAGGAGGCTGTAATTGAAACTAGAACCATAATGTATCTCAGTGTCTCATGATACAATGAAATCTTTGCAGGTTGATGCAATTAGAAATGACAAGTAGGGAAAACAAAGTCCTTTCTTCACGTTACAGTGCCCATTTCCAAAATAAAATGCTAATCTAATATTCCGCTCTGTATAAGATGTTTTTATGCTATTTGTGTGCTTTCAGATGCTTCTGGTTTTCAGCAAGGTCTTGCTTTTGGCTCTTTTATGGATGACCTGATTAGAGTATAACAAGAGAGTTTATTTGCTCCAAAGTTAAAGTAATGTAATTAAAACATAGTTAACTATAAAATGTACTGGAGTTCAGAAGTGACCCAAAGTCTCGCAAAATTAAATTTTGCAACAATATAACCATCCCCCACACACCAGCAGAGCTGTGTGCTCTTGCTGTGACCTTCAGGGGATCACGGCAGTAACGTAACACATCACATACTGTATGTCTTTGCCTTTTTTCTGAACCTATAAGTTCCTTTTTTGTGAACTGCCTAATGCAATTCTGATAATTCTAATGGTGTGTGCTGATCACAGCTACACCTGTGGAAGCTCCACAGCTCTACAGGCTGTGGGAAAACCTAAATGAAATGGTGAGATCTTTTCTGTGCTTGTAAGTGTAGCAGAAAATCAGCTGAAAGGGGAAGATGGAGGATTATATAAGGAGCTGGGGGACTAGTATATGCTGATTTACAGGTGATGGTTAATCATGTTCCAAATATTAGAGTCTACTCCCTTTTTTGCTTGTGATAGAATTCTTACTTAGCAGGGATTACTGTCTGTGCTACTTAATACAACGATTAATCTTCCATACAATTCACTGGACTTATGTTCATGTCATCCCTGAACTGGTGTTTTGGATATGTAATTAGAAAGTAATGTACTTATGGGTAACATTCCAAAGCATCAGCAGCTGACCTGCTGTGAGCAGATGAGTTCTCTCCAGTGGGTTCCAATGCCCCTCACACACTGTGCAGCTCTTCAGAAGGACCTTGGCAGGCTGGAGATGGGCAGAGAGGAACTGTCTGAAGTTCAACAAAGGCAAGTGCAGGGTCCTGCACCTGGGGAGGAATAACCCCAGGCACCAGAACAGGTGACCTGCTGGAGAGCAGCTCTGTGGAGAAGGACCTGGGGGTCCTGGTGAACCCCTGCTGCCCTGGGGGCCCAGAAGGCAAATGGTGTCCCAGAGTGCATTAGGAGGAGCAGTGCCAGCAGGTTGAGAGAGGTGATCCTGCCCTTCTGCTCAGCCCTAGTGAGGAACACCTGGAGTGCTGTGTCCAGTTCTGGGCTCCTCAGGACAGGAGGGATATGGAGATCCTGGAGCAGGTCCAGTGAGCACAGCAAAGATGATGAAGGAAATGGAGCATCTCTCTTATGAGGGAAGGCTGAGGGAGCTGGGGCTGTTCAGCCTTGAGAAGAGACACTGATGGGGACCCCATCCATGTCTGTCAGTGCCTGCAGGGAGGGGGCAGAGGATGGACCAGGATCTGCTCGGGGAGGACCCAGGAATGGGACAAGAGGAACGAGCAGGAACTGATGCCCAGGAATTCCACCCGAACATGAGGCAGAATTTCTTTACTGTGCAATGACTGAGCACTGGAACAGGCTGCCCAGAGAGGGTGTGGAGCCTCCCTCACTGGAGATACTCCAGAACAATCTGGGCACAATCTGTGCCACGTGCTCTGGGATGACCCTGCCTGGGCAGGGAGGTTGGACCAAATGACCCACTGTGGTCCCTTCCAACCTGACCCACTCTGTGATTATACTTACTGACTTTTTCACTCAAGGCCCTTTATCTTGGAAGACATCTCTAACTACTTTATTTCAAAAATAATTTTGGAAAGTGGATTTGATATACAGGATGATTATTTTGATTATAAAAAGATTTCATACTCTATCAGATCTAGGCTTAGTAAACTGATAATTCACCAGACATGAATTCTCTTCTGTTTTAGATACAAATATATCTAAAATAATGTTGAATGCAGTGATATATTCCTGGCAGATCATGCTTAATGTCTCTGCAGTTATGTATTAACTGAATTAATGCCAAAAGAAAAAAAGGGGAAAAAAAAAGCATTTGTAAGTCAAGGGTTGAATTTTGATCTTGGGATTAAAGCACTTTCTAGCTGGATCTGCCTTATCAGAGGAAACAGAATTTACGAGGCAAGTGGAAGCAGACAAAGGAGGAAGAAGTTTTATAATAGATGCCACAGCATTTCGGATATTTTAGTATATATTAAGTCTAATGGTGAAGAATTGGGGATATTGGGCAATGTGGATCCACCGACCATTTTCTCCTAATGGAGACCTGCACAACTAGAGAGCCCAGTTGCTCCTGGCACTGGGATTGGGAAAGGAAGACAGCTTTGGACAATTCTGTGCTAAATCTGGTTGGTCAGGCTTTGTTTCAAAGTGTGGAGTTTCACGTTCAAGAAAAGTGCTACTCGTCAAACCAAAAGCCTTACAAAAGGCATTTCAGCCTTTTTGTTTTCACAGTGGAAAAGAACCCTATTTATAGCAAGAGTCCAAAACATTTAATATGCTTGTCAATAGAACTACTTAGTCATCTCTCAATTATCCAGGGAAACGGGAGATAAGAATGGGAGAGAAATTAAGTGTAGTACAAATTGTATGCAAATGAGGCTTATAAGAATATATTCAGTAAGTTCATTTTTAAAAAGCCTGTAAGCAGATTGCTGTAGGGAGTAGGTGTGGGCTGCTTTAAACATCAGAAAGCAGAACAGGGCCTGATGCAAGTACCTTCCCCGGAGTGACTGGGAGCAGGGAGAGGAGCAGGGAGAGGAGCAGCACAAAGGCAGGACCATCTTCAGGCCCTTTACCAATACAAAACTGTGAACTGTTGAGGATGGACTGTAGATCCAACGACAGCATCAAACACGAGGGAGGGGACAGAGTATAAGTATCACTGGAGCACTAAATCACGCATAGAAGAGCATTAATGCAAATGAAAAAGCAAAGAGAACTTCCTGGTGACAAAACTGTTGCTCTAACTCCCACAGCAGGATCAGAAGCTGCCAGCTCTGTGCCAGTGTCTGCTGCACTGCTGGCCAGGCTGACCTGCTCCTGGCTTTTAAGTGAATTAGAGGAAAGATAAGAAAGCTTAAAGGTGCATGCTGATTTTTTCACTTTTTCTTTTGCCACATATTTTCTTCCTCAAGTGTGAACAAAATTCATTAACTGTTCACTAAAAACATTGAGAAAGTCCAGAGGTGCAAGAGGGAACCATCTATTTCATCATCATGAGATTTTGTTGCTGTCAGTATGTGCAGTAAAGGCCACATTTTGTCTTCACACACAATGTTTCCTCACTGGAATCCAGGGACAATACAAACAAAGCAGTGGTTTCTTTTTAAATATTCAGTACTTAGCATACCATTTAAAAAACTTTGAATAAACAAGTGGTTTAGCTGTGCTGGGAATCACTGACATTGATAATTATCCCCTTCACATGTATCCTCTGTAATAATTAGTCTTACCTGT